CAGAGTGTACCACTAAAAACTTTGCAGGCTAGGGGATTTCGGCATACTTAGTTTTTAAAATTCTTAAATTTTAAATATTACAAAAACTTTTAAAGGGTCCTAAGAAGCAAGATCACCACGCATCTAGAAACCCACAGTTAACAACCCCCGGGCAAAAGGGTTTTTAAACAGGTCGCCCGTCTGTCTCAACTATGGGCCCCCCTACGAAAAGGGCCTAAATGCACTAGAAAAAAAAAAGAATGCAGATGTAAAATATCAGACTTGCAAAAAACCTTCGCAATGTGACCATGGCGTAATAGCGCACAAAATGCGGGTAAAGAATAACCGGAAAAAATCGGTCGATGGGTCTTAATTTCCTCATAACAGAACACAGAATATCCCAGAGTAAAGTCCAGGCAGCACGGTGAAAAGCCTGTTCCACAAGGCAAGTACTCGCTCCCACTTGTTCCTCACCTTAATCCGACATAGCAAGACAGCCACGACCGTGTCTTCCTTTTCAGAACACCGAATCGCATGACGTGTCTTCCATTCAACACGCAAAGCCCAGGGAGACACAACCAAAACTTTCAGTGGCTGCAGAAAACAATTTTAAGTTCAACGAGAGAAATTTCAATTACTCAGATATGGTAAACAGAGGAAAAAATTTTAAAACTTCATCAGATACAAAACAAATTCTGGCCACAAAAAAGAGCGAAACACCAACGTCCCAAAAACCTGGGAGTGATCATGTCGGGGGTCTACCTTCAAGGGCCATAACAGTATCAAACGCATCTGCTAGAAAAAAGACAGGATGGATAATGGAAAAACCTTTAAAACTAGGGAGGCCAAGCCCATGATGAACTCTTCAGGGACTTGTTCTTCAGCTGGAAAATTTCTCACACAACAGCACCCTTTTAAGGAGGTGAAATGCCGACCTAAAAATGCAGAGAACTTTCACGCGCGCATAACGGGGATAAAACACCTATTATTGGGAGCGCTTGAGGTTCCCAAACCTGTATTCCCTGAACCAGGAGGGAGAGATACATGATTAAACACCTGGAAAATCCTAGAGGGACATAACCCAACTGCACACGAAAAAAACCCCCTACGAAAGCAAAAGACTTGGGAGACGATGCCCTCCCCCCAATGAAAAGCAGGGGTGTCACTGCACGTTAAGAACCAACAAAATGTAGGGCCCGAGACTGTTCAACTGCCTCCCAGCACACATAAGGGGGATTACCAACAGACCCCTGGCAGTCTTCAAGCTGGCACTGGACAAGCACCTAAAGTCAGTTCCGGATCAGCCGGGCTGTGCTCGATGTTGGTTTGCGTGCAGCCAGCAGCAACAGCCTGGTTGATCAGGCTCTGATCCACCAGGAGGCCTGGTCTCAGACCGGGCCGCGGGGGCGTTGACCCCCGGAACTCTCTCCAGGTAAACTCCAGGAACTCTCTCTCCAGGTAATTATGAGGTAAGTTGGTATTATGGCTAAGTGACTAAATACTAGTTTGTGAGTTTAGCAATGTGAATGCTTTTTTTTTGGGCACAGTAATAGTTTCAGTATTGGAGTATCACAGGATTCATTATTTTAAGACTGAGATTAATATTTCTGTTTATGGTCAAATGAGTGAGCGAGTGTAAGTGTGAACCACCAGGTGGTATTCGTGTAGTTAGTTGACGGGGTGTATCAGGGAGATAAGATGTTTTCTAATGGTAGTTTTGAAGGTGAGAATGTGTCTGCATTTTCTAGAGTTTCTCAGTAGGGTATTCCGAATTTTAAGGCCTTTGACATAAAATTGAATTTTTGTAAAGGTTTAGTCGGACACGGGGAATGTCGTAGAGATGTTGTTTCTGGTGTTATGCCGGGTGGTTCTGTCACAACTATCAAAAAAGCGTTTTAGGTCAAGGTTGATATTAGAGTTTAAGGCCCTGTAGATATAGATTGCACAGTAGTAAGTGTGGATGTACAGAACTGGGAGTAAGTTTGATCTTGAAGAGTGGGGGGGTGTGCTGCCAGGGATGGGATTTAGTGATTATTCTTACTGCAGCTTTTTGTTGGTTATAATTGGCTTTAGGTGTGTTGCTGCAGTTGATCCCCAAGCACAAATAGCATAGGTGAGGTAGGATAAATAAGCGAGTGGTATAGTGTGAGAAGGGCATTTTGCGGCACGTAGTATCGTATCTTTTAGAGGATCCCAACCGTTTTGGATACTTTTTTGGCTATATGCTGGATATGGGTGCTAAAATTTCGGGTTTTGTTGTCAAGGTATAACCCTGGGAATTTTCCCCATTATTTCTGGTAATTAGAGTGTTGTAAAACTTAATGTTAATTTGTGCATCTCCTGCTCTGCTACCAACATAATAAGTAAGTTTTGTCAGTGTTAAGCGAAGTTTATTGGGTGTCATCCAAGTCGATATTTTAATCAGCTCCTCATTCACAATGGTGTTGAGGGTGGCAAGATTAGGGGGAGAGATGACATAAGTCGTGTCATCAGCAAAGAGAATGGGTTTCAGGTGTTGGGATACTTTGGAAGGTCATTGATGTATAAAAGGAAGAGCAGGGGACCAAGGACACTTCCCTGCGGAACTCCAGTATCCAGTGGCCGTGTTGCTGATGCTGTGTCTTTAATGGTGACGTACTGATACCTATTAGTAATGTAAGATTTGAAATAAGCAAGCGCATGGCCTCTTACACCGTATGGTCAAGTTTGTGGAGTAGGGTTTCGTGGTTACTGTGTCAAAAGCTTTTCTTAGGTCAATAAAAATTCCTATGGATATTCCTTATTTTCCAATGCTGTGTAAAGCAATCTAGCATTTTTATATTACATCATATGCTTTATTTTTCCTGAACCCAAACGGCGGGTTTTAGATGTTTTGGCCTTTAAATGAATACAGCCCTCCTGTGCAGAGTTTCTCAAAGATTTTGGATAGCAAGGGTAAGTTAGATATTGGCCTATATCGTTTAAGTCTGTTGGGTCACCCCCTTTATTATTGGTGAAACCCCTTGCCATTTTAGTAGAGGGAGGCAGGGGGAGCGCTAAACCCCAGGGGATTATATAGGCATGGGGGATGGAAGGGCATTTAGGCTCAATTCGGGGAACTGGAGCACAACCCAAATTTTTCCCTAAATCAAGAGCCCCTCACCAGAATCAAGGACCTCCCTTGAGGAAAAGTAGTCACAGGTTGTATATACAACAGTAAAAATGATTAAATTACAATAGGGGAATATTACAAGGGGCCATTTTTGAAATAGTTTACAAATGAATTGTTACAATTGATATGTCAAACTTTTTTTGTTTGAAATTTTTCCCCCGGGCCTACATCCTCTCTTGGCCCCCGCCGCATGAATCTCACCAATGTTCTAGGTGATTTATAGTCTCTTTTTTTTAAAGCAGAGTACCATGAAAACAAGAATAAACACATGAATTGTAAAGTGCTCGACGTAGGGTCCAGACCTGCCTGTCTAATTAGCGATTTTTATTTATTTATTTTTTATTAATTTGGACATGATCTAGATGACAAAGAAATAGTGGTTAATGACATGCCAAAACCCCCCTTGTATGCAGAGCATTAGGCGGCTTAAAATTAATTTAAAAGATTAACTAAGCAAGATAATTCAGGGGTAAAAATTACAGTAACAAATAACAATTAAGCACAAATGAGTATTTCAAAAGACAGGTAATATGGTCATTCATTTTTGCGTGCATTCAAGAAAGGGGGTTTTTCTATTAGGAAAGGTCATTAAAAAACAAAGTTTTGAAAAGGGTCACAGGGAAAACTTTATGAGATATTATTCATATTTATTTAGTTGGGGTGAGTAAAAAGATTGAATTATAAACAACGTGTTTCTTTTATTTTAAAGGGTAATAATTTCCCAATTTTTTGGGCCTTTTATTGCTTTGAGTTTTTGCATAGTGTGAGAGGACAGGGGAAACTCAGAGTGATCTGTGCCTTGGGTTGTTCTGTTGAGGTTGGTAAGGGAAAACTTTGAGGGAGGGTTTGGGCTGGCCCTCTTTTAAAATTTGACCCATTCTGTGCTGTTTTTCATTTTTGTGCTTTGTGTTAAGGATATGGGGATGCTGGGTTTAGCCAGGACTATTCATCTTTTTACTGTGATCTTTTTTAGTTTTTTTTTAGGGCAGTGTTTTTTTGATAAAGGCAGGAAGTGTAAATTTGTGAAGACAAAGACCTTCTTTTTATTATAATAATTTCTTTATTATTATAAAATAATGTAGAACAATTTTTATAGTCTTTATTCGGGAAATTTTTCCTAGAAACTTCCTGCCAAAAACGACCCCAGTGGAAATAAATCATTTTCTGTTTTTTTTGGGGTTATCCTATTCTCTACATTTATACGATTATGATAATCTATGTAACGTTTTTGTGTATACCTAATAAACTTGCTTAATAAAAGTTGAAGGAAAAAAGTGTTGAAGCTTGACACATTTCCTGTCATTGACAAACTGCCCTGAGTAACTTTTAAAGTATGCTTATCGTCCCAAAACTTATCCTAATAATGAGGGTAACCTTTTGGTTAATCCCCTCGATTCTCTTTTGCCTCCTTCATAAACCTTTTTTGTTTTTTTTATTCCCGGGCACTTGAACTAGGCTTTGAAAAATGTCATATTGGCACCCATCACTACTACCTGACTCCAGGGTAATGACCGCAGGTCACACAGTTTACCCCCCCCAGGAATTTTTTAGCCCTATTTAAAACAGTAAGCAAAAATCAGGGAAAATTTGACTTAGTTATGGTTAGGGGGGGTAATTCCTGATATATTAATATGAAATTGAATTAAATGTTTTTTTTCTCTGTAAAGATTACAATGGGTGGTTTACATATTATAAAACAATTACAAGGAAGGCCACTGGCATGCCTAGCAAGCCTAGGCATTTCTGGCAGACTAATAATAATTGTTATTCTATATTACAAATTACAAATGATTAAATGGATTTACTTACATCATTTCTAACTTTTTTTTTTTATTTTGTTGTCCTGGCACTGTTTGTGATGATGGAACAGGTGAAGGAATCCTCAAGAGTAATACCTACCCTTCTAATTACTATCCTTGTACTGGTCTCCCACTTACCAACATAAACAGTGATCATCTAGGCAATTACACCTGCCACCTGAATGCCTTCGGCCAAAGTTGTACGGCAACATACAGCTTACAGAATCATCCTGGTAAGTGCAAGCAAAAAATTAGGTTTGAGTACACGAAGGTCGAGTCTGATAAACGAGGGGTTTGGGTTTGAGTAAAACAAGAGCGGGTATGAGGAAAACGGGGTTGGGTTTGAGAAGGGCCTGTGAGTTTTGTTGCTGGCCACCATGTTAGTTGACGAGTAACAAAACTCTCAGAAGAAATGTTGGAAAAAAAGTTAGTTAAAAAAAAAGTCACAGCAAATTTGATTAATCTAAACTGGATTAGATTAGGTTAGGCTAGTTTAAACTAGGTTAAGTTAGGTTGGTCAACACAGGTCACAAGAAATTTGTCACCTGTTTTCATGACTTTTCCTACCCAAAACTGATTTTTCTTCTGTAACTTTAACTGTGCCTTTTAATACCTAGCTTATTTACAAAACTGATAGATGCTAGGTAGGTAGGTTAAGCTATAAATTATGTGCAAAATGTTTAACATTTTTCAGATTATTGACATTAATAATTAAGTACTATTAAAGTGTACTCGATTAGACACATTTAGTTTAGAAAAAAGGTTAAAAAACTCCCAAAAATATACCAAATACCAGGGAATCATGATTTCAAAATGTATGGTTTTAACTGTCTATATTTCGAAAATGCAATAATGATGATTATGTGGCACCATGCAAATATAATGCTGATAGAAATGATGAACCTGCAGTTTCTACTGTTAAACTAACTGTAAAAACTTAAATATGTACTGATGCTGCCTTACATGTCCATGTTAGACAGATGGAAGTGATGGAAAAAAAACAGTTAAGCCTGGGTTCGATCAAGGCTTTCAAAAGACATTTTTAAATGGTCACGTTTAAAGAGCTTTAACGCAACTCCTGAGGGGCTGTCTACACGAAAATGCTTATTTTTTAACCAAAAGGGTAGCGGTGCTATGAAGCATGCAATTAACTTAGGGCTGGGGAGAGAAAAGGGAAAATGATAGGGGGTTCAGAGCTTTCCCCAATAAAAAAACCAAACAGTACAGTATTTGTGAGGCCACCAGGAGTAAGCTAAGTGTATGGTTGGTTCCCCACAGTGTTTTAAAAGAAACACGTTGTAAACCCTTTTTTCCGTTAATGGAGGATAATTTTTTCTTCTTTGAAAATAGTGTGAGCAAGATAAAAAGGGATATCATACTAAGTTGTACTTTGGAGAGTACATGATATATAGTGCCATTCCCCACCCCTCAAGGGAGGTTCCTTGATGCTGGTGAGGGGCTCTTGATCTAAGGGATTGGATTTGTGCTCCAGTTCCCTGAATGAGCCTGAATACCTTCCATCCCCCCCACATGCACTGTATAATCCTATGGGTTTAGTGCTCCCCCATGATTATAATTATAATTAGTACTGTTCTCCAACCTAATGAAATGTGACTAGGTAATTCCATTGAAGTAAGTGATAAAGTTACTACAGAAAGAGTTCCCCAGTACATATAAAGTATCTTTTGTTGATGACATTCAAGAATTAGTTCATAAATTGTGGAAGGATACCATTGGTATCAACCTTATTGATAGTTACCGTAATTCAATTCAATTCAAGTTTATTCTCTCTAAGGGTTACAATGTGGGGTTTACAGGTTTTGGGTATTGTGTGGTTTACATGTTATAAAATACTAATTACAGAGGGGGCCACTAGGACACCTAGCATGGCTAGGCATTTCGAGCATGTGAGCAGTATCTCAGGGATGTGAAATATGAGCAGGGGTAATGTTGAATAAAACTTCTGTGGAAGTTGGACAAGCCCGACCCACCATGAACTATTGTTGCCTATGGTCAAATGAAAATGCAACTTCACAAATTAAAGAAACACCCTGAACTACTATAAAATCATTCAAGACCAATTAACTAACAATTTATTGAGGAAGTACCTCCTGAGCAAAGCCAAATTAAAAGGACATTACTTACTTCATCATGGTGTAAAGACTCCAAAACCACTCCCCTATTCATCATTTTAATTGTAGTGTAAGAGGAGTAAGAATGTTCCTAGCTTCAATGAAATGTAAATGCAGCAATGATGCCAAGAATTCTCATGCCACTACCATGCAGCTTGCAATTACATACTTGGGAAAAGTAAGAGTAAAGTAACATCCACAAAAACTATTTACAGTGGTCCCCCGGTTATCAGCCGGTTTGGTTATCGGCCAACTCGGTTATCGGCGGGTTTTTCGGTGCCTGGTTATCGGCCGTTCACTCGGTTATCGGCGGTTTTGGACGCGTCCATCTGCCGGCTGGGGCAGCTTGCACTTCAGTTTGGCTTTGTGTCTCAGTGGCTGTGGAGGCATCTGCTCATACATCCAAACATTTCACTTGTTTACCATTATTTTAGTGGTTTTTCTTGCAGTGTAACTGTGAAATAAGTAACCATGGCTCCAAAGAAAGTTCCTAGTAAAGTTCCTGTGGTAAAAAAAGTGAGAAACACCATGGAATTTAAGCGTGAAGTGATCGAAAAGTTTGAGAGTGGTATGAAGGTGATGGAACTTGCCAGGATGTACAGCAAGAATAAATCAACAATTACATCCATCCTGGCAAAGAAAGAACAAATCAAAGATGCTAATGTTGCAAAAGGAGTAGCTTTTCTAACTAAACAAAGGACACTGATAATGGAAGAGATGGAAAAGTTATTATTATTGTGGATTAAGGAAAAAGAATTAGTGGGAGACAGTGTAGTGGATTCTACGATCTGTGAGAAGGCAAAGCAGTTGCATGAGGATTTTGCAAAGAATATGCCTGGAACAAGTGCTGCAGTGTGCGAATTGAGGGCCAGCAAAGGATGGTTTGATAGATTTAAGAAGCGTAGTGGCATACACAGTGTTGTAAGGCATGGTGAGGCTGCAAGTTCTGACAAATGTGCAGCTGAACAGTATGTTCACGAATTCCAGGACTATGTAAAGGCTGAAGGATTCGAACCCCAACAAGTTTTCAGTTGTGACGAAACAAGCCTGTTTTGGAAGAAAATGCCAAAGAGGACCTACATTACCCAGGAGGAAAAGGCACTGCCAGGACACAAGCCTATGAAAGACAGGCTTACTCTTTTGTTGTGTGGTAATGCTAGTGGGGATTTCAAAGTGAAGCCTTTACTTGTGTATCACTCAGAAAATCCCAGAGTGTTTAAGAAAAACAGTGTCATGAAGAATGGATTGTGTGTGATGTGGAAAGCTAATCATAAGGCATGAGTCACAAGGCAAATTTTCAAAGAGTGGGTTAATGATGTGTTTGGCCCAAGTGTGAAAAAAATACCTTCTGGAAAAGAAATTGCCACTCAAGTGCCTCCTGTTACTGGACAGTGCTCCTGCACATCCTCCAGACTTGGAAGACCAAGTGTTTCAGAACATAAGAAAGGAGGATCACTGCAGCAGGCCTGTTGGTCCATACTAGGTAGGTCCTTTACAATCCATCCCACTAACAAACATTACAATCCATCCCACTTCAGTTTTATAAAAGCGAAGTTCTTGCCTCCTAACACCACTCCTCTTCTCCAGCCCATGGACCAGCAGGTCATTTCTAACTTCAAAAAAAAAAATACACAAAACCAGTGTTTCAAAAGTGCTTTGAAGTGACCTCGGACACTCAGTTGACCCTAAGAGAGTTCTGTAGGAATCGCTTCACTATCCTCCATTGCATAAACCTTATAGGTAAGGCTTGGGAGGGAGTGACTTCCAGGACTTTGAACTCTGCTTGGAGAAAACTGTGGCCAGATTGTGTCTAAGAGAGGGATTTTGAAGGGTGAGAGACTTGTCATGACCCTGAACCTGCCGACCCTGTGGACTCTATTGTGTCTTTGGGGAAGTCCCTGGGGTTGGAGGTGAGTGGTGAGGATGTGGAACAGTTGGTGGAGGACCACAGGGAAGACCTTACCACTGAAGAGCTGCAAGAGCTTCAACTTGAACAGCAACAAATTGCAGCTGAGGAACTTGCTTCAGAGGAGGAAGAGGGAGTGAAGGAGGTGCCTTCTTCAGAGATTAACCTTTTCAGGGTTGCCAGGCCCTCTCCAAGACTTGTTCTCAGGGTTGCCAAAATTTCAAAAAAAAAAAAAAAAAATTTCTTACGAAAAGATAGAGAATCTTTTCCCGATCATAATGACACCAAAAGTATGAAATTGATGGAAAACTTACGGAATTATGTTCTCGCGAAGTTAGCGGTTTCGACGATGTTTACGCATCGGCGATTTTGCCCACTTTGAGCCCTATTTTCGGCCAATTCCAGTGTACTAGTCGACAAAAATCATAACTATTTCGCTAGAACTCCATTTTTTCTATCGAATGAGTACAAGAAACCACCCATTTACCAATTTCAACTATCTAGTACAGTGGTCAGAATTTAGCAATTTTGCCAATTTCACACAAATTTCAAAAGATACCAATTTCCAAATAGGGTCCAGAATAAACAAGAAAGACATTCCTGGCACTAAAATAACATTTCTTCTGTTAACTAGTCACATTCCCAAGCCCCTCTTACATTCTTTTGCTTTCCACTGATTTTTTATTCTTACAGTCTGTTATGCAGACTACTGCATTAGTGTAGAAATGGTATAAATAATATTGGCGCACTTGCAAAAGAATATTAGACTCACCAGTTGATGTGTATTGGACGCTTAGCATGATTTATTTACTTTTGAACTTTGGTAAAAATCGAACATTTCTGCTATTTTGAGCTCAATTTCAAGGTACTTTTCATTGTAAAACCAGTCAAAGTCATCTCAATTTCTGTAATATGTTTTCCATTCTGTAAAATGAGACTGGGAAAACTAGAATACAACAATAAATACCATACGAAAATACAGTGCAAAGTCGCTGTTTTAATCCAAAAGCACAGTCAGAGTTTTTTTTTTTTCTCATTACCCACTGTGTGCTGCAGGATTTTTTTTATACTGCGCACACTGACCACATAGACCCATTCTTTCATATGTAGGCCTACCAGCTTTCTCTCACTAGATTTGAGGGCGCTAGAATTTAGGCATACTAGTACGTCAAAAACCCTGGTGCGTAAGCCATACTAGTACGTCCGAAACCCTGAAAGGGTTAGAGGTGTGTGCAATGTGGACCAGGGTGCAAGCTTTTGTAGAGAAACACCACCCTGACAAAGCTGAAACAAGCCATATCTCAACATGTTTAGTGACCAAAACCCTGTCCCACTTCAGGGAAATCTTAGAGATGCCAGAAACAGAGCACTCAGGACAGTTATTTTGTGAGACAGGCGTCCAGTGACTCTCAGGCTGGTTCTAGTGGCGTTAAAAGACAGAGAAGGGAAGTAACTCCAGAGAAGGCATTACTACCTAAAGTCTTCATGGAGGGGGATTCCCCTTCCAAACACTAACTCCTCCCTCTTTCCTCCTCCCTATCTTCCAGAAGCCAGCATTAGCCTTCAATAAATTAGGTATGTAATACACCTACCATCCGACTTACGACCGAGTTCGGTTCCGAGAAACCGGTCGTAAGTCGAAATGGTCGTAAGCCAAACTTTACTACTGAATATCAACAAAACATTTTTGTAATGACTTTATTTTATTGTTTTATTTTGGTATTTCATGTTTTACTTTACTTTTTATGTTGTTAGCACTGTATTTTATACTGTAAGGTTTAGGATAAACACTGTGTACAACACAAATAGTTGTTTATCTCCCAGAAATTTGGCGTAAAAAACACGGTCGTAAGTCGTGTGGTCGTAAGTCGAGCAGGTCATAAGTCGGATGGTAGGTGTACTTACATAATTGTAAAAAAAAAAAAAAAAAAATTTTTTTTTTTTTTTTGTGAATATTTTTGTTGGGAACAAATTAATTTTATTTCCATTAATTCTTATGGGAAATATTAATTTGGTTATCGGCCATTTCGGTTATCATCTGACCTTCAGGAATGGATTATGGCCGATAACCGGGGGTCTACTGTATATACAATAATAGATGTAAAAGTAACATTAAACTGGATTGAATTAACTTAAAAGTTTGCCGGGTCACCATCTGGAGAAGACCTGGGCCGGAAGTACCGGCGAATCAACATGAATGAATGAACTTAAAAGTTAATATGTTCAAAATGCCAACCTCAAACTTTTATGTTAAAAATTAAGACATTGTACAGAGAGGCAAGTCCTTAAACTCATTCAAGCCTCATCCATATGTGATTTGTTTGCAATTGTGTTACTGCAATTTTGTGAATCATAATGAGACATTTATTATGGCTACATTTCACTTCCAAGGAGCATTATCAAGCAAATATAAACAGTACAAGGACAAAGAGTAGTATATGAAGGGATCATGGTGAGGAATAGGAAGAAAATAAGCAGACCTACTGGCCCATACTAGTAGTACAGTAAGTCCTTGCTTAATGTCATTTCATTATAACATTGGTGAGAAAAATTAATTGATTCCCGGCCGGGAATGGAAAATATGGAAAGACCTAAATATCTGGATGGAGGACATGCACTGGTGTAACTATCCATGTTCACTAATGGCCACATAAATGAAAACTAAGTTTATTTGAAGATCTAAAGAAAAAACAGGGTTCTAGTACTGAAAATGAAACCTTTGTGGCAAGTCAAGGTTGGTTTGAGCATTTTAAGAAACGTTCAGAACTGCATTACATATAGATAAGAGGCGAGTGTAAGTGCCAACAAAGAAGCCACAGCTGCTACCCAATTTTACTATGATGTCAATTTCCTCCCTTATGCTGTTTGTATTTAGTTTTATGATATGTAGCATTTTTCTTATAATTCTGAAAAAAAAAGTGTGATAACTAAAACAATAAAAATGTCAAGAATAAATATATGGCTTTATAGCACTCCAGAGTGACATACTACTCCATAGTCATGGCATATGCAGCACTACTGCTCTTCCTCTCAGCTCTTCCTTACCCTAGGAACTTAACCCTTGTTTATATCAATTAGCCTATGGTAAAATTGGTTTCGTTATATGTCATTTTGCTGAAAGTCGCAGTTTCCAAGAACCTATCGACGACATTAAATGAGGAGTTACTGTAGGGAAAGTTCCTTGATGCTAGTGAGGAGCTCTTGATCTAAGGAAATGGACCTGCCTTCCTTATACAGTGGACCCCCGCTTTACGATATTAATCTGTTCCTGAGAGCTCATCGTAAGCCGAAATTATGGTGAGACGAATTAATTTTCCCCATAAGAAATAATGGAAATCAAATTAATCCGTGCAAGACACCCCAAAGTATGAAAAAAATTTTTTACAACGTGAAATATTAATTTTAATACACACAAACTGAAGAAGACATGCACAATTACTACTCTACTAAGAATGGAATACCTTTATTGAAGATCTGGTGATGATTGATGGGATGGGAGGAGGGGAGTGTGTGTTAGTTATTGTTTAGAAGGGGAATCCCCTTCCACAACTGGCATAGGCTTCTCAAAGTTAGCCCCAAACCCTTCAAAATCTTTCTTAATTTCCATACTAATTCTCACCCTTTTTACCATAGGGCTGGCACTAGAAGCTTTCTTGGGGCCCATGGTGACTTATTTTGCAGTTACAAGCACAAAAAACACTGGGATAAGGTGAAATGTATCGAATGTATGCGTGGATGCGACCGCACTGGCTGGCTTGTAAACACTGGTGTTGAGGCCACACGTGGGACACGTCCCGGACAAATCGCGTGAGGCGAGGCAAAATTTTTGCATTCAAATATATCGTATGGCAGATTTAACGTAACGCGATGCCATCATAAGGCGGGGTCCACTGTATTTAATTCTGAAATGGATATTAATGTGGCTTCACATAATTTTCCTCTGTAGGTGTCTGGTTCTATTATAGCTATGCAGGATTATTTCTCTGAAATCATAGAGCAAGTTACAAACTACTTAAGAAATCCCAATTAACTCAAGATCACTGAATCAGGTAAAGTATTAATACATATTAAATTTGTACTGTTTTTGCTACCTCTTTTATGTAATAATTCATACTTAAAGTTGTACCACTCAGTACCTATGTCTCAAGTAAAGTACAGTCTGTAATCATTAAGATTAATCTGCCTAAAATGCACATGCATGTTAGTGGCTCTCTTTTGTGCTTAATATTTTATTACATGTAAACTAAATGTACATTTTTTTTATATTGCTCAAAGATTTTTTTTCATCGTGAGGTTGGTGGTGTTTCAGTGTTGTTAACATTCTTTGTTCAAGGTGTCACATAAATCAGCACTCATAGATGTGTCTCTTGAAATGTGCTCCTAAGTTTCCCACTATTTCTCTGATGTGTACTCTATCACAGCCTCTACAGGGAAGTATGCAAACTTGTACTAATTGCTGCTTGCATAGTATTATTATGAAGTTCATCATTATCTTTCTTTGTACAGGCAGTGATCATGCAGTAGATCCTGAGAGGAAGTCTCCCATCAGCTCCCATCAACCATCTTCATCACAATGTCAGTCAGTCTGTGTATATGTGTGCATAATGTTTGTTGCATACGTATACTGTATACATATTTAGAATGGTTTATAGCAAGAGTACACATGTACTTCCTTTGATAAAGCTCTCTTTCAGTGAAACTTTGTCTTATTAAAAACCTCTTCTACTATAGATGTCTTTGTATTGCCTGTTATTACATTAATATTCTGCAGGCATTCTTCACTTAACGACCTCCCTGTTTAACAACCACTCAGGCTTATGACCAGCTCTCCGACCAGAGTACTGTAGTGTATTTTACTTTTTTATTGATTTTTAATACCTAGTTCTATTTTTAATGGACTAAAAACTTTATAAATGGTACAAAGGTGACATTGAAACAATATCTAAAGATGGCTGACACAAACCCACTACCAATACAGTATGCTCGAAATAATATACTATCTTTATTTTTACGTGTACAAGGTACACAATCCTAGCTGACATCAATGACATAGTACTACATAGACAGCCACTTGTTATGCCGAGCATTTTGGGCAAATTAGGTCAATTTTGTCATAGGATGTGACCCACGCCAGTCAACTAACACCCAGGTACCCACTTGACTGATGGGTGAACATGGACAACCGGTATAATGAATCACGCCCATTGTTTCCACCCTTGCTGGAAATCGAACCCTGACCCTCAGTGTAAAGTGAGAGCTTTTACCACCAGGGTATGGGCTAGTGATTATATCATATCAGTAAGGGGTGGCTCCTCACTTAATGACCAATTCGCTTACCAACCTACTCTTAGGAACGGAACTTAGTCGTTAAGTGAGGAGTACATGTATTTATCTTCCTCATTCAGTCTTCCTTTTCCTTTTCCATTACTATCTTAACCCTTAACCCCTTGACTGTCGCAATCCCCAATCCTTAGGTGTCTCCTGGTGTCGCAAAATTTAAAAAAAAAAAATTATTTTTTCTTATGAAATAGAGAATCCTTTTCCGATTGTAATGATACCAAAAAAAACGAAATTTGATGGAAAACTGACGGAATTACGCTCTCGCGAAGTTAGCGACCTCGGTGATATTTACAAATCGGCGATTTCGCCCACTTTGAGCCCTATTTTCGGCTAATTCCATTGTTCCATTCGACCAAACTCATAGCTATTTCTTTAGAACTCCATTTTGTCTATCAATTGAGTACAAGAAACTGCCCATTTACCAATTTCAACTACCCAATAACGTGGTCAGAAATTTGCAATTTGGCCAATTTCACGAAAATTAAAAAATATGACAATTTCAAAATAAGGTCCAGAATGAACAATACAGACATTCCTGGCTCTAAAATAAAATTTTTTTTGTTCATCAGTCATGTCTCCAGGCCCCTCTGATATTACTCTTGCTTTCTATTTTGAATTTTTATTCAATCAAAAAATAGAAGATTTACTATTAAAGCAGACTACTGCAATACTGTAATAATTGTATAAATAACATCAACCGGTTATTTTCATATAGTCGGACTTGAGTCCTGGAAATGGGAAGTACAATGCCTGCACTTTAAAGGAGGGGTTTGGGATATTGGCAGTTTGGAGGGATATGTTGTGTATCTCTATACGTATATGCTTCTAAACTGTTGTATTCTGAGCACCTCTGCAAAAGCAGTGATAATGTGTGAGTGTGGTGAAAGTGTTGAATGATGATGAAAGTATTTTCTTTTTGGGGATTTTCTTTCTTTTTTTTGGGTCACCCTGCCTCGGTGGGAGACGGCCGACTTGTTGAAAAAAAAAAAAAAAAAAAAACATCAACCCATTCATGACTGCATATTAGAATTCCTAGTTGGACATTTATTGGACAATGACATTTGTTTACTTTTGAACATTGGCAAAAATCAAACATTTCCCTAATTTGAGCTCCATTTCCAGGTTCTTTTAATAGTAAAATCAATCAAAATTACCTCTATTTCTATAATATATTTTTCATTCTATCAAATGAGACCAAGAAAACGAGAATACAACCATAAATACTATACGAAAATAGACTACAAAGTCGGCATTTTAATTAAAAAAAATGGTCGAGTTTTTTTTTCATTATGCACTGCGTGCTCCAGGATTTTTTTTATATGGTGCACACAGACCACACAGACCCATTCTCTCACATGTGGGCCTACCAGCTTTCTCCTTCTTGATTTGAAGCCGCTAGAATTTATGAGTCAAACACTGTACCTTGTAAGACGTATATATACGGCCGCGACAGTCAAAGGGTTAAACTGTCCAAAAGTAGATCTATGCTTGCGTAGCGCTCCAAACATAGATCTATTTTTTTTATATGGTTTCTTATGGAGAAAATCAAGGTCGGAGCGCTACGTGTGGAAACGTAGATCTACGTTTGGATAGTTGAAGGGTTAATTAACCTCTGTTTCCTCTCTCATCTTTCTGTTTCTTTTTTATTTACGTAAGTGAACACAAAATGTAAGACTAATGGGGCAAGGGGAGTTCATAAATGCAGATTGACTATTAAATCTGAATAATGACATTGAATTTCCATGATTGTAACAATAACAGACAATTCTGGATTGAACAGGTTTTCTTAACCCTTTGACGGTCGCAAGCCCCTTTATGAAACTCATTCTATGTCGCAAAATTTTTGGAAAAAAAAAATTATTTTTTCTTGTGAAATGATAGAAAATATTTTCCCGATGGTAATGACACCAAAAGTACGAAATTTGGTCAAAAACTCTCGGAATTACTTTCCCGTGAAGTTAGCGGTCTCGGCAACATATACGCATCGGCGATTTCACCGACTTTGAGCCCTGTTTTTGGCCAATTCCATAGTTCCAGTTGACCAAACTCATAGCTATTTCTTTAGAACTCCATTTTTTCTATCAATTGAGTACAAGAAATCGCCCATTTGCCAATTTGAACTACCCAATAAAGTGGTCAGAAATTGGCAATTTGGCCAATTTCATGCAAATTAAAAAATATGACAATTTCAAAATAGGGTCCAGAATGAACAGTGCAGACATTCCTGGCTCTAAAATAACATTTTCTTTGTTCATCAGTCACGTCTCTAGGCCCCTCTGATATTACTCTTGCTTTCTATTTTGAATTTTTATTCAAACAAAAAATAGAAGATTTACTGTTATGCAGACTACTGCAATATTGTAATAATTGTATAAATAATGTCAACCCATTCATGACTGTATATTAGAATGGCTAATTGGGCATTTATTGGACAATGACATCATTTGTTTACTTTTGAACATCGGCAAAAATCAAACATTACCCCTACTTTGAGCTCCATTTCAAGGTTCTTTTCATAGTAAAACCAGTCAAAATCACCTCTATTTCTATAATATGTTTTCCATTCTATCAAATGAGACCAAGAAAACGAGAATACAACCATAAATACTATATGAAAATACACCACAAATTTGGCATTTTAATCCAAAAACATGGTAGTTTTTTTATTTTCTCCTGCACTGCGTGCTGCAGGATTTTTTTTATATGGTGTACACTGACCATACAGACCCATTCTCTCACATGTGGGCCTACCAGTTTTCTCCTGCTTGATTTGAAGCCGCTAGAATTTTTGAGCACGTATACGTCAAACATATTGGCTCGTAAGACGTATATATACGACCTAAAGTCAAAGGGTTAATACTAAAGGAATTGATCATAGTTTGTTTCAGATATACTTCTTCTTTGTTTATAGCAGACAGTAGTTTTGTTCTAATTACAATAGCTTCATTAATGAATATTGAAATAAAATTATGGGAATATAATATGTATTGTGAGTTTTGAAAGTAGTTAACAGTATGAGAATGCTACAATTGGGTGTAATGCTGTATTGTTTTGAGTAGGTATTTCTAGTACAAAGTAGCATTAATAATGTATGAACTTTGGGCATCTAGATTTGAAGTTTAAGATTTGGATAATTTTTTTGGTAAAAGTTAAATACATGTATCGAGTATTTAGTTTAGGGTGAGTAGGTGGTTTTTGAGAAGACCCTTAAATTGGTACTCAGATCTGGTTACTTTAGTATTTACTGGTAGTTAATTCCAAATTTTGGGGCCCTTTATGTGTATAGAGTTTTTACACAGTGAGATATGGACACGAGGTACGTACATCAGAGATCTGTGTCTTGTGTTGTGGTCGTGTGTCCTGTTTAGGTTGGTGAGAAGTTTGAGTGGAGGATTTATGTTTGAGTGTAGTGTTCTATGTATGTGTAGGCACATAAGTATGGATGTTCTTAATGGTGAGCAGTTTGACTTTTGAATATTGGTAGGGTATGTTGTCGGGAGTGGGAATTTATCATCATTCTGACTACAGCCTTTTGCTGTGTTAAAAGTGTTCTTAGGTGATTTAATGTTGTTGATCCCCGTGCACAAAACCCATATGTGAGATAAGGGTAGATGAGTGAATGATACAGTGCAAGGAGGGCTGATTGTGGAACAGTGCTGTATCTTTGATAATATGCCCACTGTCTTAGAGATTTTCTTAGAAATTTGTTGAATGTGTGTGCCTGGAATTTGAGGCTGCTGTCAAGGTGGATTCCTAGGAATTTTCCCTATGTGAGTCTTGTGATGGGTGATCTGTTTAGCTTTATGTTAAGTGGAACATTTGCAGCTCTGTTTCCCAACTGAATGAAATAGGTTTTGTCAGTATTGAGGGTAAGCTTGTCATCATCCAGGTAGATATTTTCTGCAATTCAGCATTAACAGTGTTAGCCAGTATGACTGTGTTTGGGTGAGAGAAGACGTATGTTGTGTCGTCTGCAAATAATATGGGTTTGAGTAGCTGCGATGCATTTGGTAGGTCATTGATGTAAATGAGAAAGAGGAGAGGGCCAAGGACACTTGTGGGACACCAACTGTGTTGGTTGAGTGGAAGAGTTTGCTCCATTTGTGTGCACATATTGGCTTCTATTACTAAAGTATGACTTTAGGTAGTTGAGGGAGTGCCCTCTTATACCATAGTGTGTTAATTTAATGTGCAGCAAATCATGGTCAACTGTATCAAAAGCTTTACGTAAATCA